CTCTCTGGGTGAAGACACAGTGTCCAGTCCCCTGTGGTCACCCCTCGTGTCTGACCTGGGAGTGAGACAGTTTCACTCTCTGGGTGAAGACAGTCCACAGCACACTCTCGAAGCAGGGGGGAGTTGTCAGGGAGCCGTTGTAGCGGAAGAATCGGTCCAGCTGTTTGGGCAGCAATGCCTGGACATCGAATGGGGGAACGGACACCTTCTGTCCTGGAAAGAGAGCAGAGACCGAGTAAACCTGGGTGATACACTGACTCACGGGCAGACTGACCAACAACACTCTGACACACAGGCAGACTGACCAACACAGTGACACACCGACTGACCAACAGCACACTGACTCACAGGCAGACTGACCAACAGCACACTGACTCACAGGCAGACTGACCAACAGCACACTGACTCACAGGCTGACTGACCAACAACACACTGACACACAGGCTGACTGACCAACAACACACTGACTGACCAACAGCACACTGAGCATAGACAGATTGACAAACACACTAACACACTCACTGATCAACAACACACTGACACACTGATGCTCTGAAACACTGATAGACTGACACACTGATGCTGTGACACACTGATAGACTGACACACTAAAACTCTGACACACTGATGCTCTGACACACTGATGCTCTGACACACTGATAGACTGACACACTGATAGACTGACACACTAAAACTCTGATAGACTGACACACTAAAACTCTGACCCACTGATAGACTGACACAGTGATAGACTGACACACTGATACTCTGACCCACAGGCTGACACACTGACACGGGTGCTCTGTGCATGTCTCACCTGCGTACTTGACTTTGCCCAGGTGGTTGAGGAGATTCTCGTAGGCAGGGTTCACCTCCTCACCTGTCTGAGAAGCAGAATGAGCCCAGAGAAGGACAGGCAGGAGAGCCAGGAGAGCCAGGGCCTCACTAGGCCTTCTGATCTTCCTGTCTCTCCGAGCTCAGCGGTGGCAGAGAAGAGGAGCTGACACGAACGAGACCTTCACAGAGGTTACAAACGAGGGGAGCCTGATCTGTTCATCAGGCTCGTTTGGCAGTTAGTAGCTTAATGACCTGAAGCTCTTATCCTGCTGTCTCTTGAAAAGAGTCAGAGTATCAGCTTCAACCTCATGGCTGACCAGTCTGTTCCAGCCTCCCACCACCCTTTGTGTAAAGTAGTGCTTCCTGTCCTAACTGCAGGACCTCACCCTGCTGTTTCTTGAAAGGAACCAGGGTATCAGCTTCAACATCATGGCTGACCAGTCTGTTCCAGCCTCCCACCACCCTTTGTGTAAAGAAGCGCCTCCGGTTCTCAGGTTTCAACGCACGCCCCTGGGTATCACCAGCCCCTCAGCACTCGTTACTGTCCCCAGTGCTAGAGCCCTGTACACCTGTCACACAGCGCCACGCCCCGGTTTCTCTTCTCTCTGTCCCCCACTGTGTCTGGAAGACGGAGCCACACAGAGCCCTCAGTCTCTCTCAGGAGCACCTGCTTCAGGCTCAGCGGTTCTCTCCTGATGTCTGCAGGCTGCGTCTCTGCCTTCCTGCTCTAATATCAGCTGGGAACTGGACTCGTTTGCTAACTGTACCACAGACTGGGGCGTGGTTGCTGCGTGGTTGTCAGGCTCACTCTCGGGGTGCTGGGGCTCGGCCGCTCACCTCGATCAAGACGCCCAGCACGGCCAGCCCGTCCGGCTGGGTCCTGGCCACGCTGATGTTGGGGTACAGCTGGGAGTTGTAGTGCACAACGTGCAACTGGAAGACAGCGCACACACACACAGTTAACAAGGCAGGGCTGCGCCAGTGTGTGTGTGTCAGAGTGCGTATGTGTGTCACTGTGTTTGTATCAGAGTGTGTATGTGTGTGTCACTGTGCGTGTGTCAGAGTGAGTATTTGTGTGTCACTGTGTGTGTCACGATGTGTAACGGTGTGTACTGTGTGAGTATAGACTAATCCTCTTCCCCCGCCTGTTCAGAGATAATGAAAGGATTTTGCTGGTTCATGCAGATTGCACTGCAGATAGAGAAGAGAGAGGAGGCACTGGGAGAGAGAGGAGGGAGAGAAGGAGAGGAGGCACTGGGAGAGAAGGGTGTGTGTGTGTCAGCGGTCAGTCAGTCAGTGATCGGTCAGTCAGTTCTGCAGTGGCTCTGCCCACAGTGTTCTCGCTTGGCAGTGCTGGCTGAGAGTCAGCCTGCTGGCAAACCAGCCCGTGTGCAGATGGCCAGGTGTCCTTCCCCTGCTCAAGAGGACGCCCCCTGCAGGGCCAAGCACAGTGTGCATGCAGCAGGAGGCTGGGTCAGTGCTGCACTGCGGTCTTTTCAAAGACAGAGAGAAGAGGAGCAGCACGAGAAGCGCAAGCTGTCTCCTTACCAGGCTCTGTGTGCCCGTGTGCTCATGTGCCCATGTACTCGTGTGCCAGTGTGCTAGAGTACTCATGTACTCGTGTGCCAGTGTGCTCATATGTCCTGGTGCCTGTGTGCTCATGTGACCGTTTGCCTGTGTACTCGTGTACTCGTGTACTCGTGTACTTGTGTACTCGTGTGCTCGTGTGCCCTGGTGCCCTGGTGCCTGGTGCTTGTGTGCTTGTGTGCCCGTGTGCCCGTGTGCCTGTGTACTCGTGTACTCGTGTACTCGTGTGCTCGTGTGCTCGTGTGCTCGTGTGTTCATGTGCTCATGTGCCCTGTTGCCTGTGTGCTTGTGTGCTCGTGTGCCCGTGTACTTGTGATCTCGTGTGCTCGTGTGCTCGTGTGCTCGTGCGCTCATGCGCTCGTGTGCTCGTGCGCTCATGCGCTCGTGTGCGCATGTGCCCTGGTGCCTGTGTGCTTGTGTACTCGTGTACTCGTGTGCTTGTGTGCCCTTGTGCCTGTGTGCTTGTGTGCCCATGTGCCCACCTCGGCGCTGCTGCTGTGCCCGTCGATCAGGTGCTCCGAGCCTCCCTCGCGGCCCCCGCTGCCCCAGTGCAGGTGGAGCTGGACTGCGGAGAAGCGCCAGGGCAGCCCGGCCAGCGACATGGATCCTGGCAGAGACATCTCCACTGGCACGAGGCGGAGAGAGAGGAGGGGCAGGGGTCAGGGCGGGCTGAGAGGGGGCTGGCACTGCGGGCACAGGCTGGCACCTCACTGCGACTGCAGGTCGCACTTCTAAACATAACCCCGGTCACTCCGGGTACAGACAGGGGTGGACATGGGTAGGAGGACGGAGAGTTCACCCTACCTGTGTGCCCGTTGTTGGTGAGGATGAAGAGGTCGTTGCCAGGATGACTGTACCCCTGGGGTTGTACAGGGGTCAGAGAAGGGTCGTGCAGGGCAGCTCTTGTGTCAATGTCAATCGGGGACTGGGAGTTTCCCCCACAGTCTGGGAATAAGAGTGACCATTGATCCTGACCACGAGCTCCTGGAAAGACAGGGGTT